AGAGCACCTTCCAGTCCTTCTGACCCAAGCTGAGGCTTGCATGCCCTAATAGTTCTCACAAATGAGGCCCTGAGACAAGCTGAGCAATTAGGTTTTATCTACCCAAGTCAGATCCTGGTTTTCAGCACCATCCTTGTTTCATTTTATAAAGACTCCAAAGATGATAATAGGAGGAGAAGTAGTTTGATCCCCACCACAAACATGATAAAAAAAGAACCCCCCTTACTAGCAGATGTCCCTGATGCTCAGGGAACTGGTGATCAGGGCTGTTTGCTGACCCAGCAAACACAGCCTGGGTAGAGGAACCTACTGCAAGAAAACAAAAGCACAAAACAAAGTAGAAAAAAGCCCAGCATGAGATAAAAATGCCTATTTCTGTGTCAATCTCATCAACAGGAGCTTATACAATCCCTGCCATCACAGACATCCCTTTTGTCAGGATTTATTTCTTCTAAGACAGAATTCTTCTCTTAAGTAAGGAAGTAAAGGGAGTTAAGGGCTCAGAATTGAACCCTTTAGTCTTGGAACACTGTTTTTAGGTGAGCCATGCTACCCAGTCTGGCTAGAGCTGCAGTGATTCCTAAGAAATACAGAACCATGGGCAGGGACACCTCCCACTAGACCAGGTTGTGCAAGGCCCCATCCAGCCTGGTCCTGAACACCTCCAGTGATGGAGCATCCACAGCTTCCCTGGGCAACCTCTGCCAGTGTCTCACCACCCTCATAGTGAGGAACTTCTTCCTAATTTCTAATCTAATTCTCCCCTCTTCCAGTTTGCAGCCATTACTCCTTGTCCTATGACCATGAGCCCTTGTAAAAAGTCCCTCCCCAGCTTTCTTGAAGGCCCTGTTCAGATCCTGGAAGGCCACAATGATGTTTTCCTGGAGCCTCCTCTTCTCCAGGCTGAACAACCTTGACTCTCTCAGCCTCCTCTTCCAGGAGAGGTGCTCCAGCCTTCTGATCATCTTCCTGGTCCTGTTTTGGACCCCATCCAACAGGTCCACGTTGTTCTTGTGCTGGGGGCTCCAGAGCTGGATGCAGTACTCCAGGTGGGGTCTCATGAGAGCAGAGTGCAGGAGCTGTGAACTAATTAGAAATTATGGGGTGTTGCACCCCTCAATGATGAGCAGGAGAAAATTTAAAGTTGGCAAGAGTCCAAGAATTTAATTTTAAAAAAAAAAATAAAAGGGTAACCAAACATCTTTGTTTCTGGTGAGATTTGCCTGAAAACAGGGAATGATCTAGACACTGGTTTTTCTTTCCCCAGGGAAAATTCTCTTCAGACCATTCCTTCACCCTCTCATCAGATTCATGCAACACTGAAAATTTCTGAGCTTTTTTTATTATTATTTCATTTAAACAATAGGTTTGGGGCAAGATGGGAAAAGAGCAGCACCTTTTAAAAAAACCCTGTTGTGTGCTATATAGGATAAATAGGTGAGGTTTAAAAAATGTTAGGTTTTTATATGTACATATACACACAGACACTAAACCAAATTAAAACCAAAAAGAACTTGTGTGAAGGGTAGTTTTCAATCCAAGAGGGAGGAAAGCCTTATCTCACAGCAGGCAAAAGCACCACCAGTTAAGATTAAAGTGCACAACCACATGTAGTGCAGATACCAAACTAGCCTGGGTCCTGGAAGCTGTGCAGCTACAGCAGCACAAAGCTCCACGTGGGGCAACTTCTCCTGCTCCTTGGCAAACGTGAGCCCAGAGCCCACGTTCAGGGCAGTGTGCTGTGCAGGCACTCAGCCACCTCTCTGCCTCCATCACTTTTGGCAGAAGCTACAAAAAGTAGCAAGCTACTGAGAATAAGAGACCCAATGCTGAGCTGCAAGACTGACTCAGTGACAGTCTTTCCTCAGGAGAGGTTTCTGAGTTTCTGGATGTATCTCAGGTGCTCTCTGTAGGCACTGCCTGCTTGGGTCACAGAGCAAACAGCTCCTCATTTATTATTTGCATGCTCAGGTTCCCATTCTTGCCCACCTGCATCTTTTCTTTTCCTATCTTTCACCCTGCAACACCATTCCTATTTCCTCCAGGCTGGCAGGGTAATAAAATTAGCAAGGGGTATGTACACCTAATCGAGGGAAAAGTCAACAAGCAGATGAAGCTTAAAAAATAATAAGAATTCTTTAAAATAAAAACATAATTAAAAACCTGTCCAAGTTCTGCAGACTTCTGGCAGAGTTCGGTCGTTTAGCCCAGAGGTCTTTGTCTTCAGGGCCTGCAGGCTAAATCGTCTCAAGTGGCAAGAAGCAGGCAGTAGAAGGTAAAATGGGAGCTAAAAAGGGAAAGTGGTAAGGGTTGGGGGCAGAGAAGGCTACAACATAGAAACCAAACAGCTTCAGCAGCAGCACTTATGCTACACGGTACGCCTTCAAAAGCGTGAACTCCTTTCTGTTGGTGCGAGCTGCCCAGATGAAGAGAGCAGCTGCCATGAACTGCAGAGGTGCTGAGACACAGGCCAGGCAGAAGGACCACCCGAATTCACCCCTCACGTCCTCGGGCAGGGGCAGCTTCTGATGGAGCAGCTCAATCCCAGCGACGTAGCAGCCGACCAGGCCCAGGGTGCAGAGCCCTGGGGGAGGAGGCACAAAGGCCGATGAGCTCGGTGTTGGCAGTGCCCTGGGTCTCTCTGGGAGGGTGATTGGTGGCTGGCAGACCTACCTGCTAGGAAATGGAGGACTCCTGTGGCAATGGCAGGGTAAAGGCTGCGACAGGCACAGGCACAGAGCCCGATCAGAGCCCCAAAGCACATGAGGCCAAGGCTGACAAAAGGCAGGAGGAACTGCAGCCGCCAGAGATCTGCGCGGGACAGAAACACACGAGACAAGTTTGTTGGAGTTGTGCTAGAAAATGGTCTCCCATCATTTTATATTCCCAGGCTGCTTCTGCTTCATCAGACACTCTGCATTCATAGCTAAAAAGGCCCAAAGGCTCCACTGAATTCAGAAGAATTTAATTTGTTAACTCCCAAGCTCCTGTACTGCATTCAAGGGCAAAACTTTTGCTACTGCACCTGAGTTTTTCTTTTAAACTTTGACCTACTGCTGGTGACACTGTAAAATAAACCCAAAAAATAAATGCAGAGCAAGGTACAGATGCTTTCCTCACTACTGAATTGATGCAGTGTCTCTGTTTTCATCCTACTTGTTTACCTGCCAGAAGGGAAAGACACTTACAAGTCCGATTCAAATCTGTGCCACTGTTGTGGTTTCCAGGCTCTATGTACTTCTCCATAAACTGATCTGAGAGGGAAAAACTGATGCAGTTTGTAGTCATATCAGTTTCTGGGAGGAAAGAAGAAAAACAACATACCATTAGTTATCTCCCTCTCATCACCCTCCCCATTCAATTCCTCCTTTGACAAGTATTTAAGCTGGGAAACTCCCCAGAGGAAAAAAAAAGAGATTTTAGGGAAAAAATTACCTCTCAACAGATCTGTAGGACACTTTGTCATAATGTAGTGAGCATAATGTAGTTACTACAGTGAGGGACAGCATTCAGGCATGCAGAGCCTTCAAACTTACCTGGGTTATCCACAGAGAACTGGGCCATCCTTGACAGACTGGGAAAGAAATGTGGCATATGGTGCTCAGCTATGTTACATATTGTTGTATTCAAAGTCCCTAAATTAGGCTGTGCAAATCTCCATGTGCAGAATGTTGTATGGTACTAAACACTCCATTCAAAAATGGGATAGAAAGGGCTATTTTAAGATCAGAAAATATTTGCTTCTTTACACTAAGCTTCTCCCCTTTTATGCCTCAGTTTGGTTTTGCTTTAGGAATGCTACTGAGCAGAGCTGGCTGAAGTGTCTTCCAAAATTAAGTATTCTCATTACAAAAAAGTGTTTCATGTTTTTTCTCCAGAAAAAAATTGTTTAAAAGTACATTTTTTTAAGAGGTTTCAAAATGAAGGGCTTCACACACAAAAAAACTATCCAAAAGCTACTTGGAAGGAGTTAAAATAATTGCCCACCAGGTTTTTTTACCCCCTGACCACTGTGAAAAAGAATCCAAACATTCCATTCTATATCCAGCACTAGGGTAAAAAGTCCTAAATGTGCTGATGCAACAGTGGGATGTGTGACATGCAAGTAAAATGAATGACAGGCTAAAAGGAGCAAGTGCCTCCTTGATACCATAGCATCTTTATTCCACTGCTGAATGCCAGGGCCTCTCCTAAAAAGAGTGACTGGCAGAGCAAGTGGAACTGCATCCCCAAATCAAGCTATACTTAGATTATTTCAAGCCCAAAGTCTGTAGCACTGGCAGCCACAGACCATTTTCCTTTGGCTTCTTTAAAAATTTAACTGTCTTTATTAAAAAACCCAACCATGTTAAGGTAGAAGCAACAGGAAGGAACAGAGTGGCCTGAATGTGTTCTGAGGAAGTCAGACAGCACCCCAGGCAAGGCAGGGTGTGAATTGCTCCAGAGGTACCTGGCGGGCTGTACCAGTGAGGGTTTTTGGGGACAGTGATACACCTCCTCCACAATCCCACCGTGCCGTTGCAGCGGAACAGCGCGTCCGTGTAGGTCTTCTCATCTGCCTCCTCGCTGACAAACTCCTCCCAGATGACCCTGCCAGCTTCACTGATGTTCTCAGCTGGGGACAGGGTGTGGTACTCGTACCAAAAGTCAGTGCCAATGGAAGCTGCCATGTAGATGGTGGAGATGAGGCTGAGAACACAAGCGATCACCAGCGCTGTAGCAAAGCGGTTATCCATCATCGTGCCCTTGCTGTGGAAGGAAAGAGAGGGCTGAGTGAGTAACTCCTCCAACAGCCACCACCACAGCCACATCAGCACTGCCACGCCTGTGACACTGCTCCTCTTAGGCAGCATCCCCTCAGGACACACCCCTCTTCCCTTTCCAACCCACTGGGACCACAGGAGAGCGGAGCTCTGAGTGTACGGGACCGGTCGGCCTCCACCAGAGCTCTGAGTGTTGCCCCCTCCCAGCCACCCTGCCCCAGCTGCTCTGGGGCAACAGCAGCTCTGTCCCCAAAGCAGGTGGCACAGCCAGGGTGCAGGGACCCACAGAGAATCCAGCCCCAGCACAGAACCCAGCCCCAGCCCCAGGCAGAAGACTTATCTTTCCTTAAGAGATTACCAAGGGTAGGAGTTATTTTTAGCCTGCCATCCCACAGGGCTTTCCCAGCTTGTGTTTAAGGCAAAGATAAGAACCACAAGCCTGGCAAAAAAAAAACCCTCTTCCAGACTGCTCACAAAGGGCAGGCCCTGCCAAGGTGCCAAAATGCCTTTAGGGAAGCAGAGGAATGTATCTAGGCACTTAGGGGCAGGAGAGGAGGGAAGACAGAGAGATCTGGAGATGGTGCTAGATGCTGCAGTGATGCCATAATACACAGAGTGGTACTTCTGGACAATGCAGGGGGTGCCCCATTCCCTGGGAACAAAATGACAAGAGCTTCCAAAACCTACAAGGCCTCCAGGTACTGGCATGAGGACTTTGCTCTGGCTCCCTGTATGAGGGGCCATTTCTGCCCTCCTCTGAAGGGTTGTGGCCACAAACAGTGTAAATTCAGGGTCAGAGGAGGCAGAGGAAAACACAGATACCACACATCCTTCTGCTCATGACAATACTGTGACTTTAATGAGCAATTGATTGCCAATACATGGAATGTTTTGTGGAGAGTGCAAATGCCAGTTGTTCCCATGTGTTTTCTCTGCTTGATTAAATTTATGGATTATGATGATTCAGGCTTGATGCACTTGCCAAAAAAAACACCAACCCAGCATTCAATTGAAGTTCACTGGGCAGCTACAGCTAGTCTGGTGACAGCTAGTATCTAATCAGCTCTTGTCTGTTGCTTGCTCTACCTCCCTTCTCCCACACACTTGGATCAAAATATTTTGGTCTACTTTCTCTGCAAGTGAATGAACCACAAGTGGAAACAGCAAATGCCTTAAAACACAACATTCACAAGATAAAACCTGAGTGCTCCAGTCAGACCTGCCCTAAGAACTTCTGAATTATGAAACAAAGTGCAAATTAAAGCAGGGAGTTTCAAACACACCGACACTTGCTCCAAACAAGGCTGTTCTTATTTCTTTTCCCTCCCATCTGCTCCTTTATCTGGTTGAAAAAGGGCAGCAGGGGTGGGGAAGAGAAATTATATGTACTCATATCACTCCCTGTGCTTAATTTCCATATTAAACGAGGCACACTTGCTGTAATATCCATCCCTAAACTGCACCTTTAGCAACAAGCAAGAACAGAACTGATTTCTGGTGGACTGACTTCACCATTCATCCTCGTTAGAGTTCACTGAGGGATCCCCTCCCCTTCACAAACTTCTCCCAAAGCAAACAGGGCAGGTGGCATCTCCAGGGCCAAGGCTGTGCTGCCCAGCTGAGCTCAGAGCTGAGCAAATCATCTGGGAACTCACTCTGGGCAAGCAGCAGAACAGGCTGGCGAGCAGGCTGGTCTGGATTTTCCACTATCCTGCAGTCACATTTACTACAAGAGGAAACCCTCTGCAGCAGACTCCTTCCTCTCTTTAGAAAGGGCTCTCTCTGGAAGCAGGAATCACAAGAACCTACAAGCTCCACCCTCAGAGTAGTGTCTAACCAAAAAGAACATGAGCAGGGCATTACTGGGCCACTGGTTTGCTGCCACTGCCTTTTAATATTAATGCTTACAACAACAAAGTCCTATCAACTTTGTATGTAACATCCAGAAAGGAAAGAACTGGCTCAAGAAAGTCTTGCTTTGAGATGAAACATCCCCACTGCCAGGTGGAGATGGAAATATCCCTGTCAGAACATCACTGAAATGCAACCCTGTGCTTCTGAGCAGCTTTCTGGGTGTTGGCATACAGTGGACTTGGCAGAGCTGATGCCAGCTGGCAACCAAGAGCAGTACACAAGTAAAATGAAGGGTTAAACACCAAAGAGTCAATCCTTGTAATGCACAGCTCCAGGGATATGCAGAAAACAGCTGAGGTGGCTACAGTCCCCAAAAATCTAGGCTTTTGTGTGGCATTTGTCCCAGAAACAACACGCATGGATTTCCAGGATGGATAAGATAGTGGCAGTGCAAGAGCACACCCCCAGTTCCTGATAATAAAAATCCCCTCAATGCTTCTGCCTAACACTTAGAGAGAAGATGAAGAACTCTACAACACTTTAGGCAGATTTTGAACTAGATGTTCATCCTGCCACAGGTTAGTAGACTTGGCTTACCCTGCCCATCCACTGCATATACCCAATGCATCTTCATTGCCAGTAAGCACACCCCCATTTAAACAAAGTGTCCTTTGCTCACTAGTGAGCACAGCAAGGAATTGCTACCAGAGCAGACCATGAAGACAGACACTGCATGTTTACAAGATTATGCCCTACTTTGGGAAGGTTTCTATGCAGAACAATATGTAGGACGTGCCTTAGAATAAGCTTACTTAAAAAATAACATTACTATGACCAAAGAGGATGTTGATTGTAAAGACAAAGATTAATAACAAATGCAAATACTTCACCTTCAAAGGCTGTCAGCAAGAGCCTTTATCAGTTTTACAAAAGGTTTGTTTCCATGGCACTGCCAGCATGTTTTATTCTAACAGCAGATGCTATTTCCAACAAGTTATGGCTGCAACTAAACTATGGGATGAATTTAAGACAGCACAAGGCAGAAATCAACAGGCACTCAAGTAGAACTCCTCCAGAGGATATTGCATTAAATATATAACATAGATTTTTTAAGAGAGTGAGACACATAAAAGTTTCAAAGCATGTGCTCATAAAAAAAGAAGGCAAGGGCCCAATTCCCAGCAACATTCAAAGGAATGACCAGATACACACACTTCATAGAAGCAGTAAAAAACCAAAAAGCAAGTCAGTAGAGTTGAAACACAAACAAAAACACAGAACAGCACAAAAGCAAGTACTCTGGCAACAAAATCAACTGGAAGACTGTAGAATGGATAAACATTTAAAGAAGTTACTGTACCGTGGCAGAAGGGAATACAAAAATCTGTATATTTTTATCTTGTTGAAGGGATCACTTCAGCCAACACTGGGCCACCAGGTTTAAGAAACTCCTTTTACTTGACATCACAAAAAGAGGAAAGCTGCACTTGCTGCCATTTTCTCAGAAGACAGGCTTGCACTCCAACTGCTCTTCAGGAAACCAGAATAGGCAGATGACCTAAAAGAAGGTGTAAATGTGGGGAAAGGGCTGGTAACCCTCCCGAATCGGGTCTCCCTTTTCGTACCCAGGGCAACCAACAGTTAGGAAAGAATGCTGCCACTTTCTTTTAACTTCAGCGGTCCTCAGAGTCCCTCAGGACACACAGCGCCAATGATTCCAGGTCACTTGAGAGACACAGTGCTCTTTGTGTCTCGTGGCAGGCGGAGAGCACGAAACGCCAAGTTCCAATCTGCCCTAAGCTTCCATTCATTCATTGTCTTCAACGGCCAGCAGCTCACAAAAAAGCCATCTAGAAGCAGAACGCAAACGAAGCGGTTTGAGATCACCATTTCCCTTGGAAATCGTTTCACAGAAATCTTCCTGTGGTCCTCATTAAGAAAGAATCATTAAACAAACAGGGGTGGGGGGTAGGGGAAAGGAATGATTTCAAGATCCCCAAGGCCGAGAGCAACACGCTGGGTAAGTGACGGCCCGACGGCTACTCGGGCACCGGCCGCGGCCGCCCAGGCGGG